AAAAGTAGTGCTTCCTGTCGAATAGTGACTTCCTGTTGATGGTACAGTTGAGAGCAAGGCCTGTCAATACAGCAGCCTCCACACATCTTCTGTTCAGTACCTTAGGAAATGTAGCAGCAAGACATTCAACAGAATTTAGAACTGCAATGAAATGACAGACATAATGCAGATTTATATTGGTGTGTGTATATATGTGTGCGTAATTTCATTCATTTACATACTGGCAGTGTTCCTGGTAATGAAGCATCAAAATGTGAGACAAGTGAGTTTGGTGGAGCCAAGAATCTAACATGAGATCCAGAGAAGAGCTTTGATGTGGACTGAATCTGAGCATGGATTTCCAGACCCACAACACCAACCATCTGAGGAAGACTAGACAACAAAGCCCAAGAGATGAAGAGTTGGTGGCACTGGAACTGACGGCACTTTATGGTAACTTTCATTACATACATTTATTTAGCAACAATACATTAAATTTATCAAAAGTTGACAGTATTGACTGGGGGGGGGTGCTAATATAAAGTTTAAATACTTGGCTCTTATAACATGTACAGTGTTATTGCTTAGGACGTTTGGTGTGTTATTTATTCTCATAGTAGCTATTTTGTGGCATTGTTTAAGAAAACAATGTGGCATTGTTTAATTTAAGAAAATTAAAATAAAGAGATTTAAAAATGTGGCAGTAAAAACATTTATAATGGTACAAGAGATTTATATTTCAATTTCTGTTTACATTTTTCAATTTTAAATTGTAATAATGCTTCATAATATTAAAGCTTTTAAATCTGCTTTGAATGATAAGAGACTTCTTTACAACATTACACCAAAGCATTTTAACAATAGTGTAGTTTAAAACCCCCTAAAATAAAATAATTTTGTGAATTCTCTGATCTGATCTCTTTTTGTAGACTAAAAAACAAGACTAAAAAGATCCGAAAGCCACTATTAGGAACTGTTCATAGGAGTAAAAAATGTGACAACCAGCCACAGTGGTGAATGTATTTTAATGAGCTGTGATCATTTTAATTGTAATGAATATTATTATTTAAGGATAATTTATTTGATTTCATAAAATACTTAAATTATTTTAATATACACATTAACAAACCGTTTTTTTTTTTTGCAATATGTATTAATGACATATAATATATATACATTTTTTCAGAGCACATGTAAAGTCAAGGTCAGCAATCAAGTATGGTCTCAACTTCTCAAGTTTCAAATCTGCAGTCTGTTAACACATACACCACATTCATTAATTCCATTAAACCAGAGAAAGACCATTACTCAAATCCCTCATGTTGATAACAAATGTCAGAATGCCTGTCTACAACCTATGAACATCCTGGCATTTGGGGGCATTTGATTCCTACCTTTTAGTATGGACTTTGGGCTGAAGTTGAGTTTTGGATCCAGATGTCCATATTGTCCTTATCACTACATTAAAACTATCAGTATGATATAAACTTTGTGATTTATTAGCATATTTCCTTAGCTTAAAGAACATTCTGCTGTATCCTGAAGAGGAGGCTGCCATGCTTGTGTTTGTGTGTGGGCAGATGGTCTATGTAGTTTTACAGAGCCACAAGGAACTCGCCAGTGTAACGTATGATGATGAAGAAAAAACTTCAACTCCCATAATGCCAGTAGCGCAAAGGCAAAGTTTCCGGCGACTTCTTATGACGGCATTCACAAACCTCGTATTGATACCTGTGGGGCAGTTGTTGGCGGGAGATTCACGCATGTTCCTGCACGTGAATGATCATCTTTGAGCACTTCTCTATTTTCAGGGCTTGCCTTTCGCTCGTTTAAATTACAATGGCGCTGCAGCAAAACGGGATCGGATCCAAACACAACGGTGACACTTCCAGCCATCACCCATCTACGAATGGGAACGGAGAAATCCAGCATGACCGGGCCGAGGGATTCACTTTCACCTCCGAACCCACGCTTGAGGACATCCGCCGCATGCAGACTGAATTCACGGAGGAGAGGAACTGGAGCCAGTTCCACAAGCCGCGGAACCTGCTGCTCGCACTGGTCGGGGAGGTCGGGGAGCTGGCGGAGCTCTTCCAGTGGCGCGGGGAGGTGCAGGAGGGTCTGCCGGACTGGACCGAGCCGCAGCGGGAGCACCTGGCCCAGGAGCTCAGCGACGTGTTGATCTATCTGGTTGAACTGGCAGAAAAATGCCACGTTGATCTGCCTCAAGCTGTCCTCCGCAAAATGGCCCTAAACCGACTCAAGTACCCGGCCAGCAAAGTTCATGGGTCTGCCAAGAAATACACGGAGTACAAGGACTGATGTCCTGAGTTTATTTGAGGAAACTGATGTTGAGTGCCTTAAAAACTAAAAATCCATTGTGCTCTTAACGTTGCTGGTTTTTATTTCATTTGAACTAAATGGTAGTACTACCACTCTTGGTTTACGTTGAGCTTTTTAGAATTTGTGTGTAAGAAACTTGTTTGCACATTTCTGGCTTAGTTTTAAAGTTCTTCTCGTGTTTTTATTTGACCAAACAAAAGCTGCCGTGGACAGTATAAGTTGCTTTGCTGTGTAGTGTTTTTGCTTCATCACAGTAAAGTGTTTTGCAGCTGACATGGTCTCTGTGCATCTGTTCACTGTTTCAAACGTTGAAATTAACATTAAAAAAATATTAGCTGCTTATAGTTTCACTGGCACTTTTCTAAAATTTCATAATCCATTAGATGATTTGTGGAGAGAGCATTTATGACTTAGTTCAGCCACAAATCTGATCAAACATCTGAAAAAGTAAATACAAATAAAAAATTACTAGAAAATTCCAGGCAAGAGTTTGGTTAGTTATTGGTTTCAATATGGTACTGGTCGGAACATTGGAGTGAATAAAAAAAAATACAAAAAGGTTTTTAGTTGTAGACATTGTAAAATGGGTGCAATTATTGAAAAATCATCTAAGTGATTTTTCAAAATACACAATTTTGACAGGAGTTCAGTAATTGATACTGCATATGTCATAATTCACTCTATTTACAATTTAAATATTTGTAAATTAAATTCACAATTAAATATTTACAATTACCCGATTCCATCTGCACACTCATTATCAAAACCAATGCCATTCAGAGAATTAAGGAACAACTCTGGCTTTCTGATTATCATCTTGTAATGTTTGTTATTCTAATGGTACACCTCTAATTAGCAACGTTAAGATGTGGACACCTGATTAAATTCATCAGCTCATTAGTATTAGAGTGTTTTGTCTCCTGAGCCCTGCTGTGTACATTAGTAAGACACCTTAACATTGCTAAAGAGTGCTGAAGAAACTACACAAAGACTCAAGAGAAGTGTCTTACAAAAGCGAAGCAGACCATTTAGGCAAAAATGAATATTAGAGCATTTAGTGTATTTGAGTTGCTTAAAGGAATAGTGAAAATGTACTCACCCTCAGGCCATCGAAGATGTGGATGCGTTTTGTTTCTTCATCTAAAATAAATTGGGAAAATGTAGCATTACATCTCTTGATCACCAATGGATTCACTGCAGTGAATGGGTGCTGTCAAAATGAGAGTCCAAACAGCTGATAAAAACTTCACAATAATTCTCAAGTAATCACACAACGACAGTCCATTAACATCTTAAGTGAATAGTTCCATTTTCGTAAGAAACAATCCATCAAGGTGTTTTAACTTTAATACTATAAAGTCTATCATCCATAATAATGCTTCCCCCAGCGAAAAGGTCAATCCCCTGCTGTCCTCTCACATCAAAATTCACTGGCATATTTGATTTGATTATTTTGGAGTCTTTTCACTTGTAGATGCTTCTTGACCTGTTTATATATAGCATATTTCTTCCCTGAGTCAGATGAAACAACCTTTTCACTGGAGAAAGCAATAGACTTCTGTTTTAGCCAGAAGCAATACCTTGATGATGAATTTGTTTCTCACAAACACGCAGCTTTTTACTTCACAGGATGTTAATTGATGGACTGGAGTCGAGTGAGTACTTATGAATTATTGTGAAGTTTTTATCAGCTGCTTTGAGTTGTTTTTACTGCAGTATCAAGATGATGTTACAAACAGAGCTTGCATCTCCCAGACATTGTTAATCTATTGTGTATCTCTCTATGTGCGTGTCCATAGTGGGGGGCAAAGTGAGCTGTCAGCATCCTGCACCATAGGGGATGCCTTACTGCTGCTTTCTCACTCGCTCAGTGATTTCTGATGCCACTCAGACTTTAGTAGCCAGACAGTGATTTTCCCAGCATCTGCTATCCATTTGATGTCATTCAGAACCGAGTGTCTGTGTGGAAGCCCCGCCACCATCTTTGTCACTCTGATTTCAGCACGCAAAATGTCAAAATCCAACTTGTTTTTCTGTCCATCTTGACAGCTGTAAACAGTCTCAGAATTAAAAATCGGGAAAATCTTGCTTTACTGCATCTGCTGCCTACTTATACTCACGCTGTGATCAGCGGCAGCTGGATGCAATAATCGCATGCCAATGTGCATTGGCTCGTTTAGTTTACACTCTAAGTAGATTGGTCTCTCTAAGCGAGATCCCAATTCGTCGGTCATCCGACGTCACATCCGTCCTTCAGGGAACGAGGGTTACCATACGTAACCGAGACGATTGTTTAGATCCTATGTTTAGCTTTTTTTTACTTCTGCTGATTGTATTCAGGTCTCAAATAAAAGATTTGTGCACAAAATTATCATGCACAAAACATGTAAGAATCATAAAGCTTTGTTTGTCACAGAGCTTATTTTCTGCAACAATTCAAAAGCAAGCAGAATTTGTTTTTAAATCAAGGGAACCAGGGTGATACAAACTTCTAGGTTGACCTACAAAATAACAACATTACCGCAGTACTCTATTGTTGCTGTTGTTACTCATTTATTCAATTATTCACAGTAATTCACAAGTTAATTTCCACATTAAGACGTACAGTCTTTTTACACCTGTTTGTGATTACCTTATTTTTTATTTTTTTACATCTAATAAAATGTTACAGTGCTTTGAGTAATCTCAGAGATGGCTGAATTGGTTCATGGCTTAGAACTCCTTGTTGAAAAGATTTACAATTCCTATATTAATAAAAAGAAGAAGAAGAAAAACTTCTGCTACCAAGGCCACTGAGAAAAGTGGCCAGTCACTGTTGAGGACTATTGAATCCTGTCGTGATGAATTGAGTGATGCATCACAGTACAATTCATTCTTATTTATTTAATTATTTTCTAAATGCTCTCAGGATATTTACAAAAGGTGAGTTTGGACTGCATGTTTGGTGGAGGAAAGGGTTCTCAGAACTGCTAAAACATATGAATGTTTTTTTAAACGACATTAAAAAAAATATTATTTGGCCTTACAAATCCAATACAAGAGCTGAAACATTGCTCGGACCAGAGCTTGAATGTTTGAAGCTTTTAAGAGCAGACACTGTTATTCATCTACATTAGTGGCAGCTATTCTGTTTCCTGCCTGTTCAGCATCACTTCTTCATTAAAGCCCAGGGAAAGAAAGAGTGATGCGCTGGATATATGTACATGTCTCTTTGACAAACAATGGATCCATAAAGCAGCTAATCAAAAATAACAACCATATAGAGTTGGAGGCGTAGGAAAGATGTTCTTGTCCATTGCATTTGTGTCATCAGCACTTCTATCCTTTGGAGTACGAAGATAAAACTAAGAAACGCTGACAAATTCATTAAGCACCTATATGTGTGCAGCTAAGGGAACTCACAGGCATGTCTGCATAAAAGTAGTGCTTCCTGTCGAATAGTGACTTCCTGTTGATGGTACAGTTGAGAGCAAGGCCTGTCAATACAGCAGCCTCCACACATCTTCTGTTCAGTACCTTAGGAAATGTAGCAGCAAGACATTCAACAGAATTTAGAACTGCAATGAAATGACAGACATAATGCAGATTTATATTGGTGTGTGTATATATGTGTGCGTAATTTCATTCATTTACATACTGGCAGTGTTCCTGGTAATGAAGCATCAAAATGTGAGACAAGTGAGTTTGGTGGAGCCAAGAATCTAACATGAGATCCAGAGAAGAGCTTTGATGTGGACTGAATCTGAGCATGGATTTCCAGACCCACAACACCAACCATCTGAGGAAGACTAGACAACAAAGCCCAAGAGATGAAGAGTTGGTGGCACTGGAACTGACGGCACTTTATGGTAACTTTCATTACATACATTTATTTAGCAACAATACATTAAATTTATCAAAAGTTGACAGTATTGACTGGGGGGGGGTGCTAATATAAAGTTTAAATACTTGGCTCTTATAACATGTACAGTGTTATTGCTTAGGACGTTTGGTGTGTTATTTATTCTCATAGTAGCTATTTTGTGGCATTGTTTAAGAAAACAATGTGGCATTGTTTAATTTAAGAAAATTAAAATAAAGAGATTTAAAAATGTGGCAGTAAAAACATTTATAATGGTACAAGAGATTTATATTTCAATTTCTGTTTACATTTTTCAATTTTAAATTGTAATAATGCTTCATAATATTAAAGCTTTTAAATCTGCTTTGAATGATAAGAGACTTCTTTACAACATTACACCAAAGCATTTTAACAATAGTGTAGTTTAAAACCCCCTAAAATAAAATAATTTTGTGAATTCTCTGATCTGATCTCTTTTTGTAGACTAAAAAACAAGACTAAAAAGATCCGAAAGCCACTATTAGGAACTGTTCATAGGAGTAAAAAATGTGACAACCAGCCACAGTGGTGAATGTATTTTAATGAGCTGTGATCATTTTAATTGTAATGAATATTATTATTTAAGGATAATTTATTTGATTTCATAAAATACTTAAATTATTTTAATATACACATTAACAAACCGTTTTTTTTTTTTGCAATATGTATTAATGACATATAATATATATACATTTTTTCAGAGCACATGTAAAGTCAAGGTCAGCAATCAAGTATGGTCTCAACTTCTCAAGTTTCAAATCTGCAGTCTGTTAACACATACACCACATTCATTAATTCCATTAAACCAGAGAAAGACCATTACTCAAATCCCTCATGTTGATAACAAATGTCAGAATGCCTGTCTACAACCTATGAACATCCTGGCATTTGGGGGCATTTGATTCCTACCTTTTAGTATGGACTTTGGGCTGAAGTTGAGTTTTGGATCCAGATGTCCATATTGTCCTTATCACTACATTAAAACTATCAGTATGATATAAACTTTGTGATTTATTAGCATATTTCCTTAGCTTAAAGAACATTCTGCTGTATCCTGAAGAGGAGGCTGCCATGCTTGTGTTTGTGTGTGGGCAGATGGTCTATGTAGTTTTACAGAGCCACAAGGAACTCGCCAGTGTAACGTATGATGATGAAGAAAAAACTTCAACTCCCATAATGCCAGTAGCGCAAAGGCAAAGTTTCCGGCGACTTCTTATGACGGCATTCACAAACCTCGTATTGATACCTGTGGGGCAGTTGTTGGCGGGAGATTCACGCATGTTCCTGCACGTGAATGATCATCTTTGAGCACTTCTCTATTTTCAGGGCTTGCCTTTCGCTCGTTTAAATTACAATGGCGCTGCAGCAAAACGGGATCGGATCCAAACACAACGGTGACACTTCCAGCCATCACCCATCTACGAATGGGAACGGAGAAATCCAGCATGACCGGGCCGAGGGATTCACTTTCACCTCCGAACCCACGCTTGAGGACATCCGCCGCATGCAGACTGAATTCACGGAGGAGAGGAACTGGAGCCAGTTCCACAAGCCGCGGAACCTGCTGCTCGCACTGGTCGGGGAGGTCGGGGAGCTGGCGGAGCTCTTCCAGTGGCGCGGGGAGGTGCAGGAGGGTCTGCCGGACTGGACCGAGCCGCAGCGGGAGCACCTGGCCCAGGAGCTCAGCGACGTGTTGATCTATCTGGTTGAACTGGCAGAAAAATGCCACGTTGATCTGCCTCAAGCTGTCCTCCGCAAAATGGCCCTAAACCGACTCAAGTACCCGGCCAGCAAAGTTCATGGGTCTGCCAAGAAATACACGGAGTACAAGGACTGATGTCCTGAGTTTATTTGAGGAAACTGATGTTGAGTGCCTTAAAAACTAAAAATCCATTGTGCTCTTAACGTTGCTGGTTTTTATTTCATTTGAACTAAATGGTAGTACTACCACTCTTGGTTTACGTTGAGCTTTTTAGAATTTGTGTGTAAGAAACTTGTTTGCACATTTCTGGCTTAGTTTTAAAGTTCTTCTCGTGTTTTTATTTGACCAAACAAAAGCTGCCGTGGACAGTATAAGTTGCTTTGCTGTGTAGTGTTTTTGCTTCATCACAGTAAAGTGTTTTGCAGCTGACATGGTCTCTGTGCATCTGTTCACTGTTTCAAACGTTGAAATTAACATTAAAAAAATATTAGCTGCTTATAGTTTCACTGGCACTTTTCTAAAATTTCATAATCCATTAGATGATTTGTGGAGAGAGCATTTATGACTTAGTTCAGCCACAAATCTGATCAAACATCTGAAAAAGTAAATACAAATAAAAAATTACTAGAAAATTCCAGGCAAGAGTTTGGTTAGTTATTGGTTTCAATATGGTACTGGTCGGAACATTGGAGTGAATAAAAAAAAATACAAAAAGGTTTTTAGTTGTAGACATTGTAAAATGGGTGCAATTATTGAAAAATCATCTAAGTGATTTTTCAAAATACACAATTTTGACAGGAGTTCAGTAATTGATACTGCATATGTCATAATTCACTCTATTTACAATTTAAATATTTGTAAATTAAATTCACAATTAAATATTTACAATTACCCGATTCCATCTGCACACTCATTATCAAAACCAATGCCATTCAGAGAATTAAGGAACAACTCTGGCTTTCTGATTATCATCTTGTAATGTTTGTTATTCTAATGGTACACCTCTAATTAGCAACGTTAAGATGTGGACACCTGATTAAATTCATCAGCTCATTAGTATTAGAGTGTTTTGTCTCCTGAGCCCTGCTGTGTACATTAGTAAGACACCTTAACATTGCTAAAGAGTGCTGAAGAAACTACACAAAGACTCAAGAGAAGTGTCTTACAAAAGCGAAGCAGACCATTTAGGCAAAAATGAATATTAGAGCATTTAGTGTATTTGAGTTGCTTAAAGGAATAGTGAAAATGTACTCACCCTCAGGCCATCGAAGATGTGGATGCGTTTTGTTTCTTCATCTAAAATAAATTGGGAAAATGTAGCATTACATCTCTTGATCACCAATGGATTCACTGCAGTGAATGGGTGCTGTCAAAATGAGAGTCCAAACAGCTGATAAAAACTTCACAATAATTCTCAAGTAATCACACAACGACAGTCCATTAACATCTTAAGTGAATAGTTCCATTTTCGTAAGAAACAATCCATCAAGGTGTTTTAACTTTAATACTATAAAGTCTATCATCCATAATAATGCTTCCCCCAGCGAAAAGGTCAATCCCCTGCTGTCCTCTCACATCAAAATTCACTGGCATATTTGATTTGATTATTTTGGAGTCTTTTCACTTGTAGATGCTTCTTGACCTGTTTATATATAGCATATTTCTTCCCTGAGTCAGATGAAACAACCTTTTCACTGGAGAAAGCAATAGACTTCTGTTTTAGCCAGAAGCAATACCTTGATGATGAATTTGTTTCTCACAAACACGCAGCTTTTTACTTCACAGGATGTTAATTGATGGACTGGAGTCGAGTGAGTACTTATGAATTATTGTGAAGTTTTTATCAGCTGCTTTGAGTTGTTTTTACTGCAGTATCAAGATGATGTTACAAACAGAGCTTGCATCTCCCAGACATTGTTAATCTATTGTGTATCTCTCTATGTGCGTGTCCATAGTGGGGGGCAAAGTGAGCTGTCAGCATCCTGCACCATAGGGGATGCCTTACTGCTGCTTTCTCACTCGCTCAGTGATTTCTGATGCCACTCAGACTTTAGTAGCCAGACAGTGATTTTCCCAGCATCTGCTATCCATTTGATGTCATTCAGAACCGAGTGTCTGTGTGGAAGCCCCGCCACCATCTTTGTCACTCTGATTTCAGCACGCAAAATGTCAAAATCCAACTTGTTTTTCTGTCCATCTTGACAGCTGTAAACAGTCTCAGAATTAAAAATCGGGAAAATCTTGCTTTAAAAAAGCTGTATTTGAAGATGTAAGACCTAGTGTTAAAAGTCGTCCTTTATCCAAATCCACAATAACGATTTTTCTCAAATGGGACTATTTTGAGCTACATCATCTAGTCTGATTTTGTTTCTGAATGAGGCATCTACAGGGAATGAAAGCACTAACGCCTCTGCCCCATTAAAGTAGACTTCTCATTCCCTCTAATTTCTCCCATTTTCCCTGAATCACACAAATTCAAACAGATGATTGAGCAGCCACAGAATAGACAGTGATTTCAGTGATCATCACACTTTAATTCAGTTCACCACTGGAGATAAGCATTACAGAATCCCTCTGAAATTTTACTGAAATATCAATGTTACAATAGTGCTGTACAGAAGAGCATCTCTAAACACAACAAAACTTAAAGTGGATGAGCTACAGTAGCAGAAGACCATAGAAGATTGGAAAAATGTAGCCTGGTCTCGACTGTAGGGTGGTGAAAATAGATCCTTGTCCAACAGAATAGTTCAAGTCAAGTCAAGTCAAGTCACCTTTATTTATATAGCGCTTTTAACAATACAGATTGTGTCAAAGCAACTGAACAGCATTAATTAGGACAATAGTGTGTCAATAATGCAAAGTGACAATAGTAAACACTCAATTTTCAGTTAAAGGCAGTTCATCATTGAATTCAGTGATGTCATCATCCAGCTCAGTTCAGTTTAAGTAGTAACTTTGCAGTCAAGTCAACGATATCGCTGGAAATGAAGTGTCCCCAACTAAGCAAGCCAGAGGCGACAGCGGCAAGGAACCAAAACTCCATCGGTGACAGAATGGAGAAAAACCTTGGGAGAAACCAGGCTCAGTCGGGGGGCCAGTTCTCCTCTGGCCAGACAAAACCAGCAGTTCAATTTCAGGCTGCAGCAAAGTCACATTGTGCAGAGGACACATCTGGTTCCTGTGGTCTTGTCCCGGTGGTCGTCTGAGACAAGGTCTTTACAGGGGATCTGTATCTGTATCTGTTTCCGCTGTCTTTCAGGGCTGTAGAGGTCATCTCTAGGTGCTGATTCACCATCTGATCTGGATACAGACTGGATCTGGTGG